ACATCTCTAGGCACCAGAATCCAAGTTTTATCAAGATGGGATGAGTAGTTAATGAACAGGAATTTTTCAAAGTTTGTCAGTCGGAATTATTTTGAAAAATTTACAACAAAATATTTGATTTAAAATTATCTCATTTTTAAAGTGAAAATATTTTTACTAAAGATGTATTTGAAGTGATTATTTGGTTATTGGGATTCACTATTAGTTATCAGACAATAGTTTAGTGTAGAAATCATGACATCAATTATAACGGGAATCAACTGCGAACCGACCGAACACAGGCCGCCAATCGGGTAAATCACCGATTTTTGTGTGGCCACAGTTGGGGTAGCGGTCAATGTTAGCCAATGAATAGCATTTGGTTTTATGCGTTGAATAATAAAGGTCTCAGAAGAGGAAGGGTTTTGAATTATCTCTATTAGTATTTAAAAATGATCAATTTAACCATGATTTCAACCATCGGTCAATACACAAACGGACCCCCTCCCATAGGAATACATTAAAATGGGTGACACACTTTGAAAAATTCCTGTTCAAAAAGTATTCATCCTATCTTGATAAAACTTGGATTCTGGTGCCTAGAGATGTCAACTTAAATTATGAAACCAATTTCAGAATTATAGCTACACGGATTCATACTGAAGCAATTAGGTTTTCATTTAAGCCAATAGCATATAAAGTTTACATAAAACATAATATATTATATAAAATATAGCACTTATTTTCATTGTATATTAAATGAAACCCTTAGAAGGCTATATCATCATCTTGTGCTTCGGGTAGTGCTTCGGGTAGTGCTTCGGGTTGTGCTGAGCGCCGGTCCCGGCGATAGACTGCGGACAACACAGCAGAGGATCCGCTCATTGAGGCGCTCACACCGTTGTTGCCAACCATTGCGGTGCTAATGACCAGAGCTATGATCAACAGGTATACGATCTTGAACATTGTGTTCACTAAGGTTTAAATCTAGTTTAGGGGTTAATAGTTATGTATTAAAAATAGTGAATTAATGTTAACCACAGTTAAGACTTTACCGTATATTAAGTTTACAAAAGCGGTTTGTATGAATAAATGGCGACTTTTTTGGTTAACTTATGGTTATATTTAATTTAATTTAATTAAATTACTTGTATAGTGAGTGCGGAAATGATGTAATATTCAATCATTTAATAGCATTACATTGTAGGACCACCCAAAACACAAGGCAAGAGATCCTTATCCCCAAACCCATATGCTATTAAATAATTGAAAATAATTTAATTTACGCAATCACTATACAAGTGATTTAATTAAATATAACCATAAGTTAACAAAACAAAAGTCACTATTTCTTAAGACAAACCGCTTTTGTAAACTCAACATACGGTAAAGTCTTAACTGTAGTTAACATTAATAAATAGTTTAATGCATAATTATTAACCCATAGATTCAAACCGCGTGAACACAATGTCAAAGATCGTATACCTGCTGACCATAGCTCTGGTCATAAGCATCGCAATGGTTGGGGACAACGGTGTGAGCGCCGAGCCGTTGGCCTCAACGAGCGGACCCTCTGCTCAGTCGTCCGGAGTCTATCGCCGGGAGAGACGCTCAGCACAACCTTAACAGCTCACCTAAATTGATCATGTTAGTATGATTAAATATACTTGATATTAGTTTTTTTTTTAAATTTTACTGATTGTTATTAATTTGCTGTAACATTTATATATGTTTCATGTGGAATCAACTTATGGTTCATTTTCATATTTATACATAGGTTTACTCATAACACAAAATAGGCATCGATTCATTAAAAATGTAAAATTATATAGATTTAAGCAATTTATTTTAAAATATTTAGATTTACATTAATTTTTAAATTTATTTAAGTAATCCCTATACCATTTCCGTTTACTCTTATCTATATATTTTAATAAACTTCTAACATCTTTCTTTTTATCAATAGAAATATTTGATTTTACATCAGTTTTGATATTATTAAAACATGTTTTTATATTACTTATATCACAATTTAACAAATTATAAGCATGATCATCTTGTTGATTATAATGTAAATAAATATTAAATAACACTGATTTTGATTGATATGTTATTTGCAATATTATAATAAAAACAAACATTTTGATTCAGGTATAATTAAATGCAATACTATAATTAAGTTTTATATAAATATGATGTGTAAAAATATGAAAATGAACCATAAGTTGATTCCACATGAAACATATGAATGTGGAATTCACATACAAACTTATCTGTATTACTGCAGTGCATACAATAGTAAAATTGATATAAATAGCGTTCAATAGTTATATAAGTTAATAATGTACTAATATATTAATATAGATTATAATAATGTCATAACTAATTTATTAATTAATAATAAAATAATAAATGGTAAAATATTTGAACAATTATCTGAAGCACAAGTCACAAATATCCGGTGAAAAAATTAATGATATCAAAAGTATGTATGACTTTATTAAACCAGAATTTAAGGGTTTTTATAAAAGATTTGTAAAAAAAATTTGAATAAAAATGATATTATTATAATCTATATTAATATATTAGTACATTATTAACTTATATAACTATTGAACGCTATTTATATCAATTTTACTATTGTATGTACTGCAGTAATACAGATAAGTTTGTATGTGAATTCCACATTCATATGTTATTTAGTATAATGTAATTATTGTAGCTTAAATTTTTGTAATATCTTAAATTTTATTTCTAATTGTTTATTTTTGTATTAAAACATTTTTAAATGTCTTATATTGTAAATAATTTATTTAAATAAAACTCCTGAAGGTTTTGTTCATTGCTGTCCGCCTCCTGAATGAACTCAAACCTGTCAAATGTGGTCAAACTTTCCGCCGGTTTGTAGTCACAGGTGCCCTCTTTGGGCACATATGTGTAGCTGAACTCTGAGTCAATGCCACCGTTTTTAATGATGTATTGGTAGGCGTATAACATGTTTCCCCCGTCGCAGCCGTGATTACCACAGTCTGGCCTTTAGGTACGTCTGAACAGTATAATAGATTTTGTTCCGATAAACTGATCAGTTTTCCGGTGTGTATAACTATCTGGGATTTATTACTAATGGTTAATGATAAATTGAATTTATAATTTTTAAAACTTATAAAATAATGATCAATTAATTAATATATAACTTACCGTATTAGGTTTTTAGAAATATTGTTTAAATCCAATTAGGAACATTATTATGACATGGTGATGTAATTATTATTATCTTATATGCACTCTGTTAATAAAAGGACAGGTTATCTTAGGTGAATAAATACAATTATATATTTTTACAATAAGTTATTATAATAGTACAACTAACATGTAAGTTTTATTACAATTACATATAAATTATGTAACGGAGGAGAAGTGTAATAATTATTTTTAATAAAACAAAAATTAATTATTAAGGTATTTTGTCTTCTAGGTACTTATTAGGAGGTTAGTGTAGATATTGATATATGGTCATTAATTTAGTTCATGTGTGATTTGTATACTGTGTTTAAGCAATATATCATTTGTTGACACTTTGTGACAATAAATGCATTAATATTGAAAATTTTTGATTTATTTATAAAATCTTTATTTTATATAAACAGCAAATTGTTTAAATTTTATAATAATCTTAATTAAATGAAGCATTTAAAAAAGTTTATTTATACATGTTTTTATATAAGTTTATTGTTTAAATAAATGAATGAATATAATCAATGTACAGTATAATAAGCAGATTGATTACTGTAAATAAAGATATACTGGCATGTTGGCATATATAATTTATACAATATACAATTTATCCAACAAATTGCATTGCAAATACTCTGCTCATGCATTTTGTTAAATATACTTTGCAATCATACGGAGTCAAAGAATAATACACTCTGTAAATAATGTTTAATACGGTTATCATGTCTAAATGTTTCTAGATGTTATTTGAACAGTTTATTGTCTAGCGCATTTTTGTGTTTCTAAAAAATATAAAAAGAGTATATGTGGCACAAAAAATTAATTTGTGAAACTACATAGTAAATTTTGATTAAGTATTATAAATAATTAATGGGAGTTAAACGTGATTACGAGTGGGTCTACACGGATGAGCCGCACCGGACTCGACGGGCGCTCATTTTGGCCAAATATCCGCAAATCAAGCGACTAATGTGCGCCGACCCGAGCCTTAAATGGCGAGTCCTGTGTATGGTTTCCATACAATTGGTATCATTTTATTTGATCAAAGATGTGACCAGTTTTTGGTCATTATTTCTATTGGCCTATTGTTTTGGTGGCGTTATTAATATATCACTTTCGACGGCCATCCATGAGTTGGTCCACAACCACGCGTTCGGCCCCTCGCGCCCGATGGCCAACAAAGCGCTCGCCATTTTTGCCAGTTTGCCAATAGGTATAAATTATACCGTATAATAATGTTGTCATTACATGACATTAAATGTAATATACTCTAGACTAATTCATTTTTTTTGCAAACAATTTGTTATCCTACATTATTATTTTCATTAGGTTAACAATGATAAAATATGCTGTATATTTTAGGAGAACCTTGTTAGTGTATTCATTATGTATCATGATGCGACATATAATAATTTCTAATAAAGGAACTTTATATTTCAACCCCAGGCGTGCCAATGGCGGGTACATTTAAAAAGTATCATTTATTACACCATCGATATCAGGGCGACGACACACTGGACACAGACATCCCCTCACCGTTTGAAGCCATGTATTTTAACACAACCTTCACAAAGACAGTGTGGATGGTATTGCAGCCCCTGTTTTACGTCATACGGCCCGTATTCACTGTGCCATCGTTTATGGTAAACATTGCATTTATTATATAACTTAGTCATATGGCTATCACACGGGCAATATAATAATCTATATTTACCCTAATATTTGTACCTCTAGGTAAGCCCAACCGGTCTCGAACTGACAAACATTACCATACAATTCGTGTTCAACTATTTAATCGGCCAATGGTTGGGATGGCATGTCGTGGTGTATATGATCGGCGGTATGTTGTTGTGCATGGGTTTGCATCCGATGGCCGGCCATAACATCTCTGAACATTACTTGCTGTTTAGCGATAGATTAACCATGTTGAAAGATTGCAATAATAATGACATGGAGTACCCGATGCTAATGCCGGAGACCTATTCATACTACGGGCCGTTGAATATGTTGATGCATAACGTGGGCTATCACGTGGAACACCATGATTTCCCGTCGATACCCGGCGCACTCCTACCCCGGGTCCGGCAAATTGCGCCCGAGTTTTACGATAGCCTACCCTCGCATAAGTCCTGGACTTATGTTATCTGGAAGTATATAACGGATCCAAATATCGGTCCCTATTCTCGGGTCAAACGGCCGCCGCGTTTTGCCCGTCGGGACACAAATGACAATATTATAAATTTAGCGAATGATGTAATTGTTAACTAATTCAATGAATTTATTTAATTATTTTATAGTTAAAACACTGGATATATTTGTTTAACACATCTGTTTAAATAGTTTGTACTTATGCATTTTATGAACAATAAAATATTTAGCTAATTTATTGAACAATATAAAATTATTATTTCAAATTAATTTATCATTTAGAATTATCACAATATATAAATCACAATTTGATCACAAAATCTCGGTCTTTGTCTTTGTTTGTTACTTAAAATTTAATTAAATATTTTTATTTTGTTTGATAAATAATAAATAGATTATAAATAAATGTTTAAAAATATAGCTCTACATAAATGTTTGCCAATTGTTTATTTTATAAAAATTAATTATTAAAATAATATATTTAAAATAACTTACAGTACAAATTGATTTGTAAACAAATACTTCTAAATGTGTTTTAATGCATTACTTTTTATACTGCTTAAAACAACTTAGAATGCAATTTACCTTTTATTATTTTGCATTTATATAATTGATAGATTAGTTTATGTTTACATGTGTACTTATAATAATAATATAATTTTACATTTTATTGATTAATAATTTAATTTAAAAATTTTCTTAAGATTTATGGCTGATTTATAAATGTTTAATAAATATGTTTATTACTGCGAAATCCACTTGCTTATTTTACAGGCAATACATTTTATTAAAATAAATCTATTTAAATCATTTACGGTATGTTAGAAATTATTACAATAAATATAATAATCTACTACTAATAATAGTGTTTGTAGTTAAATATTATTTAATTGTCTCTGCTTTATTTACAAATACAATTTTGTTAATCAAAAATTAAAAATTTTATTATGTTGTTAAATTATAAATATAATACAAGTTATAAGTCGGGAGATCGATATTATGAATGCAGCGAATGATGTAATTGTAAATTAATTTATTTAAAAAACTTATAAATAAATGAATTTATTTAATTATTTTTAAACTAAAAACACTGAATATATTTGTTTAACACATATGTTTAAATCATTTGTGTGTATGAATTTTATAAACAATAAAATATTTAACTAATTTATTGATCAATATAAAATTACTACTGTTTATTTTAATAAATCAAATTATGATTGAGTAGCATTACACATTTGATTTAATAGTATTTTAATTTGTAACAATAATTTGTAATTAATAACAATGTATCTTTTATAGATAATATTTTACTTATTATTTATAATCTTTATACATGTTTTAATTTTGATTATGAGAATTGGAAAAATTGTATTAATAAGTAGTCAATTAATAAACATTATTAAACCATTTCCATTGCTTTTGGTTTGACTGACTTTACTTTTAATGACACAGAATATTGTTTAAACTCCGGGACAAATGACCAAAAATATGGACATGCTAGCACGATTAGTGCCAATTCCAGCCACGCAGATACAACATGAGCAATATAACCAGGCTGATCGCTCGACCAATTGACCCTGGTATTAAAGTCGTATATTACTTGTTTATCGGTGAGCGACCACCACGACCAAAATAAAAATATTATATACGCGTTTGATAAAATAAATTGCACAATGGCCAGATTGCGCCGGAATCGCCCCACACCCGGACGGGATTGTGCGAATGCAATGGCACTTTGCAAAGCCATGTCACCGATTATTGGCCCATAGAATAGTGTGGAGCTAATCAGGTGTAGCGCCACGACTGCCAGTCCCTCTGATGTGCGAAAACTGGCGCATCCTATGAAACCACAGCCCATTGCCAAACCACTGATCAAGGACAGTTTATTATACAGTTTTAAGCGACCTGGATTATATTTAACATTTTTGTCGCTATTGTTATTATTATTGTCGTTATCAATGTGTGATTTGACCATGGCGTATCTAACGGCACAGGTTATGTACATTAACACCCCTTCTATGGTCAGAAATAGGGTAAATATATTGGCTTCGGGTGATATGGCGCCCAAATCGCTGACCAATTGCATGATGGGCACGCTATGACCATGGTTCACTGATAGACCCCATCTAATATTTATTTTTAAAAAGTACCAGAAAAATTAAATTTATTATTAGTATCCATTAATAGTATAGTTATACTTACACAACAAATGGAAGTATCAAAATAATTAATCCTAAAATAATGGGTATGTAATGCAAAGAATATTTCATGTTGTAAATTGAACCTGATGTGAATCACTTTGTATAAAAATCTAAATAAATATATTCTCCTAACATATAAGATATAACATATTCATTTGACTATTTTGAACTAACTGGACTACTGTATTATTGTATTGTAATATTAAATAATGTAAGATGAAGGTTATTTTTGAGTAATTACAACCATAGTTAATAATAACTTATATTTAAAAAGAATTACTGCAATGACAAGTAAAATAACATTTAAATTGTTTTTTAGATTTACGTATTGATTTAATTATGATTATTAAGTTTTTTAATACACATTAGATAGGGCGTTTAATACATATTTTTAATAAGTTATTAATAATAACCATGATATCCTTCATTACCATTACATGAAATTAAATTTATTTTTATCTTTATTAATAAATGGATAATTATAACTTGGTCAGAGCTACTGAAGGTCTTTCCAAAAAATATTGCTACCACGTTTAAGATTAAATAATTAAATAAATAATTTTAGATATTAATGGGCAATTATTTAACACACATACTGTATAATCAAAATAACAACTACATAACAGGTAAGAAATCAATATTTTTTATTATAGCATAATATAATAAAAACAATTATTCTTGACGATAGATATTTTAATATATTTATATTAATTTAATATAAAATTATTTATACTTTATACGTTTAGATTGTTGATAAATGTTTCTTTACTATTATAGTAATATCTATATAAAAAATTAATTTTTATTTAAATTTTTAAAATTATAAATATTTTTAGAATATATTTTAACAAATTGTTAAATATCAAAATGTTTGGACAGGGGAACTAAAACAAACAAGAATCACATAGCGATGCTATACGTTAACCACAATTTGGGAAATGCATCAAAGATTTTAAATTTACAATATTTTACATTGATAAAATATTTATTTTTGAGTTAATTATAAAGTAATAAAATTATTATATGACTATCAACGGTACAAACACAGAAGAGACTTGTTATCCTATGTAATTACATAGTAACATTATTATTATAATTTATTATTAAGGTTATTGGTCAATCTTGTGTAAGGCCATTCACTAGTGAGTTGTCTAATGATTACACAAATTAATTATGTTTTAGATAAATTATATGCGAACACATTTTTAACAATCTATTCAGTGTTCAACAAACTCATATTTTATTGCATTAGGACAATATAATTATCTAATAATATAACAAGTAATGTAAAACCAAATGTGTTATACTCTTAAAAATACCCACAGTTATATTGATGTAGGAGCTGTATGGCCGGCGAGTTTCTGAGCGACCGGCTCTGCCATTCATTCAGTGAAAGGCCGCCGCCGCTCATCCCCTCGTAGGCCATACAGCTCTGGTCGGCGGTCGTGCCGAACCCCATCCTTAACGGCTATATTAAATAAAATAATTATAAATAATTAAATAAAAAAATACAGAATATAAAATACATAAAAATACTTACATTTAATTATACACAAACACAACACATACAACACATACACACAATGATAATGAAATGAAAAGTGATTAGAGAAAGAAAATGAAAATGAAAGATAAGAGTGAAAGGAAGTGAAAGAAAGTGAAAGATAAAAAGTATAGATTAATAAAAAGTTGTGAAAAGTTATAGATAAGGAGAAATGAAATGAATAAATAAAAGTTAAGCAAAAAGTAAATGAAGAAAAGATCCGTAAAAAGATAAATAAAATATAGAAAGAAAATGAATAGAAATGAATGAATAACATTACAAATAAATAGTAATAAATGTTAAACACAAACAATACTTACAGGTGAAACTAAATATAAGGGACACACAAACACAACACAAACAAATAAACATAAAATACGGAACTGTAAAGGGATGGAAAACATAATGATAAGAATAAAAGTGAGAAAAGTAAATGTAAGAAAAAGGAGATAGAAATAGGATAAGCGATGAAAAATAGAGTTCACATTTAGATAAAAGACAGAAAATTATGCAAAACCAACACAAAATAACAAATGATAACACAGAAAATACACAGAAAA